AATAGATTGATATATATACATGTATATATACACGAGTGTACGTTTGTAAATATACGTATATAATTGTAGCGTTTCCATCTACCAATACACGCACATACGTACATACTGTTTACCATCAGACATGCAATCGCGTATACCCATATAGTCATACACTTTTTTTTGCTTACATGATCATATGGACATGTAGCTAAGCAGTTGTATAGTTAAGTATGCACGGTTATATGTATTGATCCATATATCTACACCTGGTTCGCTACACAGTTACGTATGACACCGTGCACACACTCAGCTAAGTAACCATCGCACTCGACATGTATATGTGTTGTACCTATTTGCCTACATGACCATGCGCTTACATACTCGTCAATTGCATAAGCCTGCACATATATATATATACTTATAGATGTATACATGATCGTACATTTGTGCATATATATATATATACGCGTATAATTAGTTACTGGTATACACATACATACACCAGCGTTATGTGTATACACCGCACACACAGGAGTCGGACGTCTGGGGAGGCGCGGGACCTGGCCCCCCTTGCCCCCTCATAGAGGTCGCGTCGGGGAAAACTCCTCCCCAGCGGTTTACACGAGCTCCCCTCGGAGCGAGTCTGCCCAGGGGGGTCACCGCCGAGGGGTGGGGATCCTTCTTTTCATGATCCTCCTCCTTTTCCTCCTCCCGCTCAGCCTGTCGTGTCAGCTTTGGCAGCGAACGAAGACTCGCTGCCCGCTCGAATGAACGCTGCCCTGGCTATTGTGCTCATCACTTTTAGCTTCTCGCTAATCCCCACAGGCACGACACACACACACACATATATATATATATATATATATATATATATACACACACATGGCTATACATACCAGTGTATAGGTATTGATAGATGTGTAAATGTATGTAAACCGAGATACATATATACGTATACAGGTATGTGGATGCCTATCTATATTGTATATATGCGTAGCACCCCGCAATTGCGGATAAGAGTGAGGGGAGCGGGCGCGGGCGACGAGGGCGTCGAACCGGCGGACCTCGTGGCCCTCACCTTCCCTGTCGATGGCGCCCTCCTCCTCCTCTTGCTCCTCCTCCTCCTCCTCTTCCTCGTCCGCGTCCTCGTCCTCATCGTCGTTGTCGTCGTCGTCGTCGTCCGCCTCCTCGTCCTCCACCACCTGCTCCTCCTCTTCCTCCTTTTCCTCTTCCTCCTCCTCCTCCTGCTCCTCCTCCTCCTCCTCCTCCTCCTCCTCCTCCTCTTCGTCCCCCATCCCGATCCTCCCCCCTCCTCCTTTCCGTCGTCGTCGTCCGACGAGGGCGCTTTCCCAAACCAATGCGAGCAAGCCCGCCGCAGGCGCCGATTTGCGTGCTCTGACCAGTTCAGCGCGGGGGGGATCGCTGGTGGGCCACCCAGAACGAATGCAGAAGAAACCCGCCGCAGGCGCCGAAGTTTTGGCTTGTTCAGTGAACGTAGTTTGGATCGCGGGTGGGTCGCGGGCCCTCCACCTCCACCTAGAAGGAATTCAAAAACAGCCCGCCGTAGGCGCCGAACGTTTTGATGTGTACACTGAACGCGGTTTGGGTCGCGGGTGGGTCGCAGGTTCTCCACCTGGAACGAATGCAAAAGAAGCTCGCCGCAGGCGCCGAACATTTTGGGTGGGTTGCGGGTTGGGTCGCGGGTGCGTCGCGGGTGGGTCGCGGGTGCGCCGCGGGTGGGTCGCGGGGTGGGTCGAGGGTGGATCGCGGGTGGGTCGCGGGTGTGTCGCGGGGTGGGTCGCGGGTAGGTCGCGGGGTGGGTCGCGGGTGGGTCGCGGGTGGGTCGCGGGGTGGGTCGCGGGTGGGTCGCCGGGCGGGTCGCGGGTGGGACGACGATAAGAACAAACAACAACAAACAACAAACAACAAGAAAAATCCGCATCGCGGAATTCCACTTCAGCCACGCACCCAGGGACAGTGAATGACCGTTCGGTTCAGCCCCCTCACTCCGGTATAGTTCTCTATGTGGCTATCTTGATTCCAATCTCCCTCTCAGTGTGCTCGTGTGCCGGCGGTGTGGTTCTTTCAGTGAGCAGGATTGCCGTGGCTTCCAGAAGGGTTGTTCCAAGGCCCCCCCCAGCAACGGGATGATGCTCCAAGTGAAGAGTGCATTACAAGGCCGAAATTCTAAAGGCAACGCCCGCTCACCTTCTGCCCTCAGAGCCCCCCTCCCCCTTGCCCAAGTCGCGTGGAAGCTGCAGGAGGCTAAGACGCAATCGCACGACTCCAGTAGAGGGCAAATTTTGCTGAATTGTGCTCTTTGTGCAATGTTGTGTCCCAGAGACCGTTGCGACTTGCGCCAAACGATGTTGGGCCAGCCAGGCCTGCCGCCGCTGCCGCCGCCCAGGCCGACCCCGAACCCACTGCAGTCAGACGCTGGTCCTCCTCCTGTTCCTTCTCCTCCTCCTCCTCCTCCTCGGCCGCCGCCTTTCCCCGTCCCCCCTTCCGCCACCTCCGGCCACCTCTCCTCACCTTCCCATGCCCCCCCTTCTACCCCTCCTCCTGTTCGACTCCTCCTCCTCCACCTCCGCTTCCTCCTCCTCCGCAATATTTTCGCCCTTAATCATCCTCCTTCAACTCCTCCCCCGCCCCTGCTTCACCTTCCTGCATTCCCCCCCTCCTCTTCCTCAAGAGTGGTTCCCCGAGTCCTCGTTGACGACGGGCTTCGCCAGCTTGATCCACTGGTGGCCGTTTTGTTGCACGGGGGAGCAACAGGGGTAGGAGACGGAGGAAGAAAATAATGATCCCGAGCCTCCACGCTCCTGCGTCACCCCTCATGCAGGAGGGAGGAGGGGGGGGGAGGACGGGGAGGAGGAGGAGGTGGAGGAGGAGGAGGAGGAGGAGGAGGAGGAGGAGGAGGGATCATCATCATCATCATCATCATCATCATCATCATCATCATCATCATCATCATCATCATCATCATCATCATCATTATCATTATCATTATCATTATCATTATCATTATCATTATCATTATCATTATCATTATCATCATCATCATCATCATCATCATCACCATCAACATCATCATCATCATCATCATCATCATCATCATCATCATCATCATCATCATCATCGTCATCATCTGATGATGATGATGAGGAGGAGGAGGAGGAGGAGGAGGAAGAGGAGGGGGTACGAGGAGGAAGAGGAATATTAATCATGCCTAGTTGCCTCCAGCCCATCCTGCCATCGTGCTTGGGTTGTGGATCATAGGCCTCTGGGATGGCCGTTGGGATGTCGCGGGTTGTCTCTCGGGGGCCTCTCGGGGGCCTCGTTGGGGCCTTGAGAGCCGTTTTGGTGCCTCCGTGGGGCCTCCTGGGGGCGCCTTGAGGGCCTCCGTGGGGCGCCTTGAGGGCCTCCTGGGGGTCTCTTCGGGGCCTCTCGGCGCCTCCGTGGGGCCTCCTGGGGGCCTCCTGGGGGCCTCCTGGGGCAGAAAGCTCAGATTTTCCGTTCGTGCTCCCACTCTTGAGCCCTTCTCGGGGCTGTCTGTGGGCCCTCTTGGGCCGTCCGGGGCGCCTATGGAGCCGTCTTGAAGCCCTCTTGCGCCGTCTTGGGGCCATTCTTGGGAAGAGGGGTGCTGGAGGAACATGAGCAGGGGTAGGAGGAGGAGGAGGCGGAGGAGGAGGAGGAGGAACCATCATCATTTGATGGTGATGATGATGATGATGATGATGATGATGATGATGATGATGATGATGATGCTGATGATGATGATGATGATGATGATGATGATGCTGATGATGATGATGATGATGATGCTCATGCTGATGCTGATGCTGATGCTGATGCTGATGCTGATGCTGATGCTGATGCTGATGCTGATGATGATGCTGATGATGATGATGGTGATGGTGATGGTGATGGTGATGGTGATGGTGATGGTGATGGTGATGGTGATGGTGATGTTGATGATCATGCTGATGATGATGATATAATGATATGCTGATGCTGATGCTGATGTTGATGATGCTTATCATGGTGACGGTGATGTTGATGGTGATGATGATGATGATGATGATGGCGATGGTGGTGGTGATGGTGATGGTGATGATCATGATGATGGTGATGCTGATGATGCTGGTGATTATGTCGATGAGGTTGATGATGATGACTACTATGAGTATGATGATGATGCTGGTCATGGTGATGATGATGATGCTGATGATGATGGTGATGGTGATTGTGGTGATGATGCTGATGATGATGACGACGATGATCATGATGATCATGCTGCTGCTGCTGCTGCTGATGATGATGATGATGATGATGGTGATGGTGATAAAGATGATGACGACGACGATGCTGATGCTGATTATGATGATTATGCTGACGCGACGATGATGCTGATGATGCTCATGCTGATGCTGATGATGCTGATTATGATGATGATGCTGATGATGATGATGATGATGATGATGATGATGATGATGATGATGATGATGATGGCGGTGGTGGTGGTGGTGATGATGATGATGATGATGATGATGATGCTGATGATGATGATGATGATGATGATGATGATGATGATGATGATGATGGTGATGATGATGATGATCATGATGATGATGAGGTGGAGGATGACGTTGAGGAGGAGGAGGAGGAGGCGGAGGAGGAGGAGGGGTAATGGAGAAGGGCGAGCAGCATCAAGAGGAGGCGGAGGAGAAGGTGGAGGAGGAGGCGGAGGAGGGGCGAGGAGGAACGTGAGGAGGAGGAGTAGGGGTAGGAGGAGGAGGAGGAGGAGGAGGAGGATGTGACAGGATCAGGGCGTAGGGGGGATTTGTCGAGGGATGGACAGGAGGGATGCGGAGGGAGGAGGAGAAGGACGAGGAGGAGGAATAGCAGGAGGAGGAGGAGGCCGAGGAGGAGGAGGAGGAGGAGGAGGAGGAGGAGGAGGAGGAAAGAAGGAGACACGAGACTCGGAGCAGGGAGGATGGGGCCCATCTCCCCACGCACAGGTCGGCCCAGACGATCTTCAGGCCCCGCTGGGCCCAGCGGCCCGCGTTAGCGCCGTGCCGCCCTCGAGGGTGGGGGGCTGGCAAGGGATGTGGTGTCAGGGGCAACGTTGGATGTCAGGGCAACATTATTCGGACGGTGGATGGATGGATGTATGGATGGAGGGGCGGAGGAGGAAGAGGAGGGATAGACGGGGGAGGAGGAGGTGGAGGAAGAGCAGAAAGAGGAGGAGGAGGAAGATGAGGAGGAGGAGGAGGAGGAGGAGGAGGAGGAGGAGGAGGAGCGACGAGGATGATGAAGAGAGGCGAAGCAGGGTGGGGTCGCGGAGGATACTGGTGCCCTCGGCGGCCGACCAAAAGGCCGGCGCACCTTTCTCGATTTCACCACGAGGGCGGGGAGGGGTGAGGGCTAGATGCCGCTGGACATCATGGCCGCCGCCGTGACATTTCCCTGACCTCGTGGCCCCCTCTTTTTTGACTACGCATCCTGCCCCCCCCTAGTCTGCGCAAATGCCTTGGGCCACGACGCGATAACCTCCCTCATCCTGGCCCCCGTATTCGGCGCACCTGAGGTTGGGGGTGGGGGGTCAATCGATGGGAAGGGGGGGGGGAAGGAAGCCAATTCCGGGGGGGGGACATCGGAGAGCAAAACACCGACACAAGAAGGGGGACCCAACCCCGATGCAAGAAATCCGCACGGACTCCTTGAGGTCATGCCTATATGGTTATATGTTGTTTGGGCTTGTCTTTTTAGGAATCGAGGGGAGGCGCTTCGGGGTGGACAGGTGGATGCCCCCGCCACAGCCAGCGTGTCTCCCGCCCCGCGTGCGGCCCACCCGCGCTGCCGCGCAGAACGGCGTCTGCCGGGTGTGCCTCGCGAAGACCCCTGGGGACCTGCCCGCCGCCCGCCGGCGGCGGCGTGGGCTCGGCGGCGTCACGACGACGGCGGCGGCGGCAACGGCGAGCAATCCGAGGCACAGCCACAACCTCAGGCAGGTGCGGGGCCGTTTTCGGGCCCCAGGGCCAGCAACAGTGTACCCCTGGGGAGGCGGTCGGGACCTCTGGGGCCCGCAGATGTCAGGGGAAGTCGGGGCACCAGTTTTGTTGGCCAGGCAAAGCGCTGGCTCGCCCGAAAGATGTGGGTTTCTCGGCAGATTGCTGCAGTGACAGCGGACCGACCTGTTCCGCGATGACCCTTCCTCGCCTCGCTGCAACAGGTGGGCAGGCGGCCAGAGGAGAGCTTCGACGGCGAGGGGCAAGTCACGGAGGGGGCTCGTCACGGAGGAGGTCGGTCAGGCCGCGCCCGAATTGATGTCGACGGCGACGGCGACGATGGTGGCATCCGCCATGGCGGCAGTGGTGATGGTGAACAGCACGAAGGCCTCGGCTGTCACAGCTCGTCGGCGTAATGATGGCTTCCCATGTCGCCAGCGATCATGACGTACCAGGGGGTGTTACGGGCAGGGAGCACAGTTATGTCGACGGGCCGCGTAAGGGATGACGAAGATGACGCGGGCGGGGGCGAGACGGAGGTGGAGGGGGGGATGGGGAGTAGGAAGATACGATGATGATGATGACGACGATGCTGATGATAATGATGATACTGATGATGATTCTGATGATTATGATGATGGTGCTGATGATGATGATGGTGATGATGGTGATGATGGTGATGGCGATGATGATGCTGACGATGACGATGACGCTGACGATGATGATGATTTCGATGACGATGATGATGCTGATGATGACTATGATTATGATGATCATGATGATGATGATGATGCTGACAACGACGACGATGATGACGATGATGATGATAATGATGATGCTGGTAATGTTGATGATTACGAGTCTGATTATACTTATGCTGAGGATTATGATGATGCTGATGGTGATGGCGATGGCGATGATGACGATGGTGATGCTGATGGTGATGATGATGATGGTAATGACGACGACGATGCTGCTGATGATGCTGCGGATGATGATAATGATGATGATAATGATGATGCTGATGATGATGATTGTGATGATGACGGTGATGGTGATGGTGATTGTGATGGTGATGGTGGTAATGAGGATGGCGATGACGATGGCGATGCTGATGATGTCCATTCTGATGTTGTTGCCGATGTGAAGTATGTATGTTTTTTTTCAGATGGTGATGCGTACGATGATGATCGTGATGACGCCGATGACAATGCTGGCGATGACGGTGATTGTAATGATGAGGATGGCGTTGACGACGACGACAACGAACACGCCAATGATGCTATGGCAGACGCTCCCTCCCAGGGAGGCTTCAGACATGTGGCTCGGCCTCTGCTCCTCGTCGTCTGAAGCGTCGTGGACCCGCGTGGCCGGCAAGGAGGTGATCATCTGGTCCCCGGCCGCAGCCGAGGAGGTCGGACGCTTGCTGGGCGGCTATGTGCGCCACCTTGCATAGGGCCGCCATGGGACCACATTGCGTTTGCTCTGCACCCTCCATGACCTTCCAGGCTGCGCCACGCCGACGGCGATCTTGCAACATTTGGCTCGCCCAGGCCCAGGCAAACGGTGGGCAGGGATAATGGCCAAAGTTGAGTTCATGTTGCAGCCGCTGGAGCAAATCAGTCCAGGGGGGCGCTTCGCTCAGATATCGTGGCGCCCAGTGGGGCTTTTAAGCTTCCAGCGTGCCGCGGTGCTCTCACTGCCAACGATTTTGACTATGGACGAGCCGTGGAAGAGGGTCGCGGTGGGTTCGACTATAATTTTGGATTTCCCCACGCGTGCCGATACTCAGGTGCTGGCAGAGACGGCGGCGATCCTCGCCGTGGGCTGGAAACAGTCTGAGCCTCTTCGTAGCCCCGCCTCGCAGAAAACATATCCTCGCCTTCGCCTCACTCTGCACTCATTGGCGAGGCTGCGTGCACGGCACTGGATGCAGCGGTCTTCACGCAGCGGCTGCACAGGATGCTGTTGCCGATGGGGGGCATGCGGGCCTTCAGCGACATGCTCGTGGACGATGCGGCGATGATAGTGACGACGACGGGCCGGGGAGCCTTCACGGTTGCGGGGGCTAACTGCCAGGAGCTCCTCCCACTGAACGCCCAGACGGCCGTCATCCGCACCAGGCTGGACGAGGCCAAGTGGGAAGAGGACATGCGTGTGTGGCAAGCTGCGGACCCGCAGCGGACTGGTATCACCTTCGTCACAAGCGACTGGTCCACGAGAGTGGTCTATGGGTGCCCTCTCCTGGGACGGCGAACAGGCAGCGGCAGCTGGCGGCACGATCGGAGGAGGGTATCAGCGCGACTCCTATTGCAGCTGCAGGGCCTCCCCAGCCCCCGACCTGACCACGTCGTGCAAGCAATTGGGGATATGATCCACCGCGCCCTGGGCCAGGAGGTTCGGGCGCTCCGTCCTGAAGAAAATCTGGCCGCGTACACCCTGCGCCCCGAACGTGGCACCGTGGCGGCGGCCTTCACTGGCCGCTTGGAGCTTGCTGTCCGTTCCCCGGCGGAGGCCCGCCATTGCATGAACTGTTTCATGGACGTGGCCTTCTCCCTGCATGGAGGTGCAGCTCGCGCCCCTCGCCGACCGGCCGGGAAACGGCCGCCGGTGCTAGGCGACCCAGCCGGCCTGCACCGGAGCCCAGTCGAGGCTGGTGGACTTCGTAGCACCTTCGTCCGCTTTCAGGTGCGACGCGTGGCGGCGGCGTCCAAGAGGGGAGCACGCGCGGGGCCCAGCGCCGTCTCTACCGCCAGCGGCCGCACCGTCGCGGGCGGCCGCGCCGCAGCCGCCGCCGCCGCCAGCGCAACCACCTCGGTTGACGCCACCGCGGGTGGACAGTGGCGTGGGGCCTTTTGGCGGAGACTTCCGGGTGCCGACGTGGAACGCACAGGGGCTCTTCGCAACGTGCCCGCAGACCCGACGTGACAAGGCAGCCCATGTCCACCGAATATTGCGAGATCACGATGCCGGTCATCATCACAGAGACGCACTGGACGCCAGAAGTTGAGGCGCTCACCTCACGCGACGGACTGGCCCATTTCGACGAGTCCCCCGCCTTCTAGGCGCATGGTTCTGCCGACAAGGCAGGGGTGGGCGTCGTCGTCACGCCTGGATTCTTGCGACGATTTTCGCTCCAGGTTGAATGGCGGGTCCTGGTACCTGGGCGAGACGACGAGTTGTGGCTCAACGACGACGCTTGTGATCTATCAATCTTCGCTGTCTACTTCGCCACTGGGTCGACGGAGCTCGACGAGGAGGACGCCGTGATGACAGCCGAGGCCTCCGCGCAGCGAGAGCGACGGGTGGCGGCGGCGCACAATTCCCCGTCGTCGCGGCGCCGCAGCCTGCTCATGGGTGACTTGAACAGGGTGGCGGATGATTTGGGGCGCATGCAGGTCGACACCCAGCTGCCGAGTGGTGGGCGCGACAGGGGCGAAGAGCGGGACCTGGTGCAGGAGTTTCTGGGCGTTGACATGATCTTGCGGCGACGCACGGCGTCGCTGACATGATCTTGCGGCGACGCACGGCGCGCGCGCAACAACGCCGGGGAGTTTTATCCCGGCTGGGCTGGTGTTGCGCCAACCTCCTGCACCCCAGCTGTTTCCTGAATGGGCGAGTCGGCGCTGCGGCCTTGGATTGGGCCCACTCGAAATCGCGCGGCCCGCTTCTCAGCGCGCACCGGGCCGCCTCGGCCTTTCGCTGCGCGCTCCTAGGGCCATCCTGCGCGGGCGACTCGGGCAGAAACGGGGCGCTGCCAGGCTTGGAAGGGCCATGCCAGGCTGCTCTGCGCCGACAAGCTCGCCAACGACCACGCCGGACGGGGCGCGTCTGCGTTCGGCCGTCTCCGGCCCCTGAAAGGGAAGATGGCCGAGGCGGCTGCGGGGCTTCAGCGAGCTGCCCCGCGCGAGCTCCCACATGGCGACCGCGAGGGCCGGCTATCCTGGGCGATGCGAAGCCTGCGGGGTGTCGAGCGGCAGGACCGCGACCTTCTGCATGAATTGGCGGCCGTTGGTGGCCGCGCGTTTCCTGCGGGGCGCGGCCCGCGGCGGCGCGAAAGCTTTGGCGCGGGCCCAGCTCGGGGAAGTTCGGATTTCGTAGCGGGCCGGCGAGCCAGAGAGAGCGGTTCGCGGACCTCGCCGCTGGGCGATGCAGACCCTCCGGCGCATCCGACCGAGGGCAGAACACGCTCTGTCGGCCATTCAGCTTTCCGACGGCTCGATCACCGCGGGCCCGGGGCGCGCCGACCCAGACCTGGCGCGCTATTGGGAGAGCGCGTCCGGGCCAAAGGAGTCGGCAAGTTGGAGGCAGTTGCGCCGCGGGGCGATGCGATGCCGTCGCTCTCGGAGGTCATGCCGGAGTGCGCGGCGACAACCGGGCGCGTGCGGCGGGCGATCAGGTCTTCAGGCGATGCCGCCCCAATGAGTTTTTGGCGGGGCATTGGCGAGCTCGGCGTCGAGGTTCTCGCGGACGCCCTGCAGGCGATGATGTCCGAAGACGCGGAGGCGGCCATGATGCGCGACGACGGGGCGGGGGGCAACCGCTTCGGCACCTGCGACGCGAAGAAGCCTACCGGGCCGGATCCCGCGGCTGGGGCATTCTACCGTCCTGCGGACACGTGCCCGTTGATGCTCGTGGATGCCTCGAACCGCTCGCTGGCCAGCTCCCTGGGGTGAGCCGTCGCGCCGGCTATCGAGGCGCTCGTGGGCGCGAGCCAGCGGGGCTTACTCTGCGGCCGTTCCATGCTAGCGAGCGGCATAGACCTCGAGGCCGCCATGCAGGGAGCGGCGCTAGAGGGGGGCTGCCCGCGCGCCGTTCGACGCGCGGGCGGCGTTCCCCAGTCATGGAACACGACTATTTGCATCTTGCGCTGGAGGGGCCGGGGCCGCCGAGGGGCGCCCGCGCCGCTATCCGCGCGCTCTATGCTGGGCAGCGCTGCTGTTTGGCAATGGCGGACAGGTGGTGGGATGGCTTCCCGATCTCCGCGGGGATCCGCCAGGGGTGCCCTCTCAGCCCCCTCCTTCGTGCTCGTGACGGGGCCGCTCCAGCGCCAGCTAGACGCAGTGAAGGGCCGCCGCGAGCGCTGCGCCTGCGCCGGCGATTTCGCTCTAGTTGGCGCCAGCGGGCCCGCGGCGCGACCGCAGCTGCGCCGCCTCTTCGAGCTCTTCGCCCGGGCATCTGGCTTGCGCCAGAACTTGGCTAAAACCGTGCTTCTGCCATTGTGCACGTGGCAGCCAGGGGGTCGCAGCGAGCGCTCGGCGGCAAGCGGGGCCGGTCTGGGGGGCAGCGCGGGCGGCCAACTCTAGCACGTACTTGGGCTTCGAGGCAGGCCCAGCGGCAGCGGACAGCGGGTGGCATGCCCCTGTGCGGAAGTGCAAGGAGGCGGCGTGCAGTTGGGCGGGTCTGGCACCCGGCATGCACGTGACGCTCCTTGCCAACAAAATGTTTGCCATATCGAAGCTGCAGTATGTTGCGCAGTTCCACGGAATGCCCCCCGACTGGCCAGCTCTGGAGGAGTGGGCGATTCAGAAATTGCCCTCTGGCCCTTGCAGATGGCTTCCACCGGGGATAGCCCAGCAGCTGCGGGGCGAGTTCAAACTTCCAAGTCAGTTGCAGTCGCTCACCGTTGCTGGGCCTGCGGCCCAGTTTCGGGCGGCCATCGCTGGGGGGGGGCCACCGTCGCCGCATCCGCTTGGGGGAGGTGCGCGCGCGGCTGCAGCGCGCCCGCTACCGCGCCTTGGCCTCGCGGGACATCGAGCGACGGCGGCAGGCTCGGCTCGCTGGCGGCCTGGCGCAGGAGCCGCAGGCCGCGCTGGAGAATCTGTCCAGACAGGGCGTCACAGAGGCGAGGGCGCTGGAGCGCGGAATGGGCCGCGGCCCTCGCCCAGTTACCCTCGCGACCTGGCTGCGAGCCAGACGACGGCTGCAGGCGTCCGCGACGACGCTCCTACGGCGCCAGCAGTGGCTGCGCGCAGGGCACGCCCAGTTGAGCTCAAAGGTCTGGAATTGGCATGATCCAGGATCCTTGCCAGGCGGGCGGGCCGAGCGCTGTCGGCTGGTCACGCAGCGACTCCCGAAGAAAACGCCGCCGCGGGTGCGCGCGGCCGTCTTGCGCACCTGGCTGAACGGATGTTGCGCCGGGCGTCGGTTCGGCGCCCGTGGTGGCCGCTGCGCATTCGATTGCACGCTGGGTGACTACGACGCCCGGCATTGCGTTTGCTGCCCGAAATTGTGGCACTTCGGACGGAGCGTCCAGACTCTGGCACTCGGGCAGGGCGCACCACCCGCGCGCTCTTGTGGCAGCCCGGCGCGCCTGCCGATGAAGTCGCCAGGACGGCCACGATGGTCGCGGTCGGCTACAGAGCGCACGCCACTCTGCGGCACGCGGCCGGCGCCCGCCTCGATGTCCCAAGGCCGTTCGCCGAGGTGTTGTGGCAGCTGCGGGAGCCGCGGGTCACGGCTGGTTCGGCCGCCGACGGCGAGTGAGATCGCTGTGAGCGGGGGGCTGTCCTGGCCCTCTTCCTCTTGGTCCTTCCTTTCTTTTCTCCTCGCCTCGTCCCTCCCCCTCCGAGGTGCGTGGCCGTCTTCCTGGTCTGCGCCGCAGGTCGGATCTAGTTCCCGCGCGGCGGTGGAGGCCCCCAGCGCTCGACTTGAACTTGCTGTCGTTCTCCTCCCCCTGCTTATTCCTTCCTCCTTCCTCGTCCTTCTCCTCTCCCTGGGCGCCGAATATCGTGACATTTTTCGTTGCGTGCTCTAGGTTTTTTTGTTTGATACCGGCCCATGCGTTTATTTTCCGCTCTATTGGTGCGCGTGGCGTTCGGTTTCGATTTTGAAGTGTTGGGAAGCGGGGGGAGCTCCCGCACAGACGGAACCAACAGCGACACGTAGAACAATTGAACAGCATGCGCATGCTCTTCCAGTCATGTCTGTCGGCTGCGCGCCCAGGTAAGATTTCGATTGAGGGCAGGTTTTTTCCTCATGGGCAGCCTCCCGACGCCGAATCTCGCGACATTGTTCGTTGCGGGCTCCAGGCTTTCATTCGATACCAGCCCATGCGTTTATTTTCCGCTTTGCTGGTGTATATGTCGCTTGGCTCTGATTTTGGGTGTTGGGGCTCTCGTGGGGGGGGGTCCCGCACAGACGGAACCAACAGCGACAAGTTGGACGGTCGAACAGCATGCGAATGCTCTCTCCCAGCTATGTTTGCCGGCAACACGGCCAGACGTAGCTGCATTTGTAAGCAGCCGTGTTCTTCACCAGCTGCCGCCCGACGACGAATCTCGTGACATTTTCGTTGCGTGCTCACGGCTGTTTTGTTCGATATTGGCCCAACAACAATTGTACAGCGGGCGAGTGTTGTCTTAGCAGCGTGGTTGGTAATAAACGACCGCCTATGTCCGCCCAGGGCCGCGCTTCCTGCGAGGGTCCCGCGTTCCCTTCTCTTCTCTGGCGATCCCCTCCGGGGAGGGCCGGATCTTCGACTCCTCTCCTGGTCTCTTTGGCCCGCCCACTGCCCTTCGGCCGGGCCTCCCCAGGTCCGCCCGGCCTTGGGGTCTCTCGGAGCCTCCGCTGGTCCGCTCCAGGCTTCGTTTGGGCGACCGGGCTCCAAACGTAACATGTCAGTTGCCATTTCTTTATTGCTGGTTGTCCTTTTTCTCTCGGGTGACCTACAGCCGTGGGTTGCTTTCATCTGTCTGTCGCACTTGCTCTCTCTGCTCGCGTCTTCCTGCCTTTTTCGCCTCTCCTCTTTCGGGGCCCTTTCCCAGCACCTTGAAGTTAGGTCGGTGCCCGTCTGCATTTTGAACCTAGGGCTATAGGGCCTGGTAGTCTCTTGCGTTGGTCTCCCGCTGATCGGCCTATTGGCAATAGCCATTGCGCCGCAGAACAAATCGTCTCGGCGATTATTTCTTTGCGCGCGAGCTGTTGGTTGAACAGTTGCGTTGTGTAGCGCGAGTTGTTTGTCCGCCACAGCCCCTGTTGAAGAGATTGGCGTCACCTGTGGAAGCATGTGGTCCGCTCCCATCTTCTCCTTCCGAAAAAATATCTCAGTGGCGATGAACATACTGGTGGTTTTAGTCGGGTTGGCTGTAGGTCTGGTCGATTGGATTGTGCTGGTGGTGGGTGATGATGATGAGGACGCGGATAAGGAGCAGGAGGAGGAGGAGGGATGGGGAGGAGGAGACGGAGGAGGAGGAGGAGGAGGAGGAGGAGCAGGAGGAGGAGGAACAGGAGGAGGAGAAGAAGGAGGAGGGTGGAACAGGAGGACGGGGCCGCGCCCGCGGTGGGTCGCGGCGACGGCACGGGCAGGACTACAAGGCCGTCGAGCGCAAGCGCGTGCGCCTGCCGCCCGCTGGCGCTCGCTCGCTGCTGCTGGCGTTGAAGGAGATCCCGGGCGCGCGGCGGTCCTCCCCTCTTCCCGGGAGCAAGCAGTGACCACGAGCAGTGAGCATATATTGTTTGGAGGGCCGCGCGCATTTCTCGGTTCGTGCGCTGGAGCCCCCTGACGGCGCCTCCTGCGCCGACCCTGGCGCGCTCCGCGCGCCAATGTGGGGGGTCCAGCGCCGATCAGAGAAATCCGTGCGGACCCCCCGCAGGTATATGTTTATGGTATCGTTTGTTCCCGTTTTTGTTCTCCCCTCCATGGCTTGTGCTGACTCGGTGGACGGTGTTTGAGGAGAGCAGTATTCCCCGTTCTCTGGATGTGCGTGAACTGATGGGGTGGCGAGGAGGCCATGTCGGCGTCGCGGCTTCGGCGCCGTCGTCGGGGTGGTTGCCCGTCACCGTGGGTGCACGTGCTGGAGGAGCCTCGGACAAGCATACCAGTCCAATACAGACCTCCTCCCTACCTTCGGCGCGTTAACAATATATTCACCACGTAGTGGATTGCGCCTTGTGATCTTCAGTATCCAGCATCCTCTCCCTCCTCCCTCCTCCTCTCTCCATCCTCCTCCCCTCCACCAGCTGAGCGTCGCGGCCGCCAGGCGCGATTTCTGGACATGCGAACGCATTTAGTGTTTTCCTCCTCCCTCGTTTCCTTGTTTCGTCCGTCTGAGGCCCGAGTTATGGTACGCTTCCACCCAGGGTGCATCTAGATCTAGTCGATATGATCCGATGTCGACTATGATTGTCCCGACCCGATTCTGATTCCGATCTTCCAACGACCCGGTGCGGGTCAAATGCTTGCATGGTGTTGTTGTGCGTATTGTCGGGGCCAGTCCGATTCGATTTCAATCCCGCGCAGATGCGGCCAGATTCCGACGCACGTTCCGATCCGACCCTGCTTGAGGATTCAATGTTGACTTACCCTACCTTGGCCCCAGATTGTGCATATGCCATCCTGGCTAGGCCATGCAGGTAAATATGCCGATCTCGGGCCCAGGATTGGCTTACAAACCAGACTCGCTGTCAGTATATAGCTGTCGTTTTCGTACTTCACCTGTCCTTTTCCTCTCCCTGTCCCTTTCCTTCCCTGGTCAAGCGGTTCATTCAAACATATGCGCGCGGGAAGTGGAGGTCGCAAAGTGTAGTTCGCAAGTGTTAATCAGGCCGTCTGTTGAGTGTGAAGATGTCGTGACCGTTGGCCTGCTCCACGAGTCACTCGAGCTTTGCAATGCTATTCCAGTCGAGGGCTTCCAAGAGCAGGTGGGCAGCTTGGGACAGACGCTGCTGAATCTGTGTGGCCTACTGCATCTGCCATGACAAGAAATATTGACACCGGTTCGAACTAGCAGCGCTTTGCAGTACGTGCGCGATCGAGCTGACGAGCAAGGTTAGCGTACTCTTGGATGCACTACAGTCAGGTGCACACTGCTGGTGGTGATATGTTTGAGCGCATGTCAGCGCATCGGGAGCGCGTGTGCACGTTTGCGCACACGCGCGCTCGCGCGCACATGCGCGTGTACGCGCGTATCATGTGGCTCGGGCTCGGGCTCGGGGTCGGTCTCAACCTCGCGCTCAGGGTCGGTGTCGGGCTCGCGTTAGGGCTCGGTCTCACGCTCGCGCTCGCGCTCGAGCTTGCGCGCACGCGCGCGCGCTCGCGCGCGCTCAGGAAGGGGCTCGCGCTCGCGCCCGGGCTTGCGCTTGCGGCTGGGTTTGCGCGCGCGTGCCGCGCGAACCAGCGCGCGCGGACTGCCCCCGTTGGGGGCGAGGCGCGATTGCAATGCCAGGGCGCCCGCGCCTGGGGCCCGTCCCCCCCCCCAAATGCCGACTGTATTTCTCGTTGCGCATGCCTAAATGGGGCGTGGTTCCAGTGCCCAAGTTCTGCGAGGGAATGTGGCTCGAGCAGGTCATGGCATCGAGAATAGTCGGTTCCAGCGCCCAACGTCTATGAAGAGCAGCTGTTCCGGCGGCTCGCGGCGCGGGTTCCGGCGCCCAAGTTCGACGAGGGAAAGTCGTTCCAGCGTGCTTTGCCGTCGAGAAGGGCGGGTTCCAACGCCCAGTTTCCACGGGGGGCGGCGGCCCGGCGGCCCGCGGCGCGCCCGATTTTGACGGGGGGCAGCAGTTTCAGCGGGTCGTGCCGACGCGACGGGCGGGCCGTCGCGCGAAAAGGCAGTCGGGCCAGTTGGGCCCGCCAATAATTCCGTCAGCAAAATTTTCACCGAACTGGCCAGTCATGTGAATATATTTTTCTCCAGCGAGCCAATCGCCGGGGCGCGCCTCGACTGGGGGGCCCAGCCAGTGCTCGCGCGGATTCGAGCAGGCGGCGCGCCCCGGCGGTCAACGGATGCAAGAAACAGGCATCTCCGAAGAAGGGCCCTCTACCCAGGGACGCGCGCCCTCGAAGGACGATGCCGGAGATGCTCGATCTTGGGGTGGCACCTGGGCCAGGTGGTTTAACGGTGAGTTAGTTCATCAGGCGCATTGTCTCCCCCGGCGGCCCCATGGGGATTCCCGGTGGCTGGGGGCGGGCAGATGCAGAGGGCGATGGGCAATTTGATGGCGCACGCGGCGGCGGCGGCGGAATCGGCGACGCCAGTGGCCGCGGAACACTTCGATGAACAGGTCGGGAATTTCACGGAGAATATGAAGGAGAACGTGGGGGGCATCACGGGCGCGCGCCCTTGCTGGCGGCGCGCGGGGGGGCGCGGCGCCGCGCGAAGTTCGACGGCGACGGCGCGGGGGGGAAAGGTCACCGGGGGCGAAGTGCGCAGGGTGATTCAGTAATCTTTGCGCGGCCATGGCGCTACCCGAGCGACGGCGGCGCCGCCGGGGCAGCGCCTGGCGCGGGTGGGCCGCGACGACAGGGCGACGCCACCTGCAGAGGAGATCGATGCGCTCGAAAGCACCGCAGTGTACTCTGAGGCTTTCTGGCAGACGCGCGAGGCATCGACGTCGCCAATTTCCGATTTCACCATCAAAGTTGGGGGGGGGGGGGGGGGGTGCGCGCGGTCGATGTGGATGGTAAGCCGTGCGTTTTCAGGGCGCGGGGGGAGAGAGGGCCAGTTCGTTTCGCGACCAAGACGGCGACGGGGAGCCACGGAGATTGGGCGAGGAAGGAGGATGGAGAGACGCGCAAAGGCAACGCGATCAACATTGGGCCTGACCGGGGGCCAGTCTTTGGTGCCAGGGCCCGGTGCTCGGCAGTTCTCAGGGACGTGCCATGGGCGAGCGGCGTGGGCGAGATTGCGATTGACTTCGACGTCGGCACGCGGGTTCTCATGGTCAACGACGAGCGGATCGAAGGGCGAATGGGCGTTGGTCAGGGCGGAGATCGACGGGCCCGACGCGGGCGGCACGGGGCGGGAGGTGCAGGGCGACGGCTTGCAGCGTGCCGCGGGCCGTGCCTTGCGGGAGTGACTGCGCTCTGGCAGCTACTGCCTGTCCCCGTCTTTCTCCACCCCCTTTTTCGCCCCCCCCTCGTCGTTCGCTTTCTTTCCGCGGTGCCCCCTGCGCTGGGCCCCCCCCTGGGGCATCCTGGAATGCGCGCGCGTTTTTTCATGTGGGTCGAGTGCTTGGCGGAGGAGGAGGCAGTTCCTCGAGCGCATGGCTCAGTCAGTGGATTCTGCTGGTGTGCTAGAGGTGCATGGCGCCCCTGGCCGAGTGCTTGCCCTGCGTGTAACTGCTCGCTGTTGATCTCGATTTGATTAGCGACGCTGGCGCGCGGTAGAGATGGGAAGGGCCGCCGCGCTGCGTCTTCGGTGCCCCCGCGGCAGCCTAGATATCTGGATTGTTTACATGGGCGCTTACTCGCCGCCTGCCCAGGCGCTCGCTCTGGAGCAGATCGCCGGCCATTTCGCCGGCCAGTTGGCGGCGCGCTCGGCCCGGGGGGCCAGAGACGGGGCAACGGCAGACGGGGCAACAGGAAACGGCCGGTTCGAGGCATCAAATGGCCCATTTGTTGCAGTGCAGTTTTATTTGCTGTCGCGTTCGATGCAGCGCCTTCCGCGCGCTGGTTGTGCTGCGCATTTCCGGCCGCTGCGCTGCAACTGTTTGTTTCGGGCCCTCTGCTGCCCCGTCTGCGGGGCTCGCTTGCAGATTGGCTGCAACAAGTTGCCAACAAGTTGCAGTGCAACTTTTTTTTTGCGTTGCAGAACATGCAGTGCATTTGTGTTGTTCTGGTCGTTGCAGCGTCTCCACCATGATCCCATGGTGGGTCTGTTACCCCGTTTAGGCGTTACCCAGTTTAGTGCTCCCTGGTCGGCTCTTTTTGGCGATTGTATATAACAGAGCGCGCAATATACCGCCTGCAGAAAGCTCCCGGGCGGTCTGGTTAGACGAGCGCGGTTGACAAACGACGCATTTGACGCGAATCTCCGCTCCAGATTCGGCGTGGGGGAATGATCGCAGGACGTGTTCACGACGCAAGACTGTCGTCGTGAAGTCTCGCGTGGACCGGTTTTATTGCAATCGGCGCCGGCGCAAGTTCTTGGACAGACATGTCGAATGCGCAGCGTTGCGTCTTCTCCCATCGGTCTGCACGTGGGACTCTCTGTTTGGCCTGCCGCATTGCCGCGCGTGCACGCAAATGGAACAGCAATGCTGCCCTGCCCCTGGAAGCATGGAGTCGCCCCGATTGCTGCTCGCGTCCAGGCCGAGGTCGGTCGAGAAATGCGTTTCGCACCATCGGCGCCATCAGTCGGGAAAATGAGCATTCTCAAGGTGGCAACGCGCCGTGCGAGCAGACAGCTGCCGCGGCGCACTGGGCCCGCGGCGGCTTGCACTGCCGGGGAAAAGTTGCGCGCGGCCATGGGTTCTCCGAGCGGCGGGGATTGCGGGGCCCAGCGGGATCGAGCAAACACCGATTAACATAGGTCTCGGCAACGAATGAGCGCGCATTTTTGGAACACATTAGTGAGACAACGACGATGTATTCAAGCGAGAAACGGATGCATTAGATTTCGCCACCTAATCAGAACAAGTCGTCGCATCATTTAGAAAACGCGAAAGCCGGTTTAGTGAATTAAAGAGCGGACATTCTAAATCCGGGGCCGTTGTTCAAAATCCCAGATCCCATCGCCGCCGTGGCCAGAGCGGCTCCATTAAGCAATGTTTCATGTATCCACGTCTTCGCTCATTGGCCCCCTCTCGCCCGACCGCCCCCGCTGCTCTGCGGGGCAACTGCGTTGAATTAGCTCGCCCAGATGTATGGGGCGAGGCGGGGCCTCCCAGAGCGCGCCGCGACGCGCTTCCCGAGTTTGATGTTTCTTACTGCACAGAGCACGCCATGCGTAAACTGCAACGCCTTCCCCCCGCAGGGGGCGCATCCGTAGCTGCGACGGCGTCTCCCGGCGGGGGCCGCTTTGAGGTGGGGCTTCGAGGTGTGGCGGATTTGTTGCGGCAGCACTGGGGCAATGCATTCTCGCGTCTCCTCATCTTTCTCAGGCGCGCGCGCGGCGCCTGGGCGACGCGCAGCCCTGTGGACATGCGGGGCTGCTTTGCGACGACCCCCGGCGGCCGCTGAAGCTCGGGCGCGTCGTCGAGGCAATTCTTTCCACTGGCGATTCCGCTCCTGGGCCGAGCGTCATCCCGCGCCGCGCCTGGAAACACTTCGAACAGCTTGCCGCGCCAATCCTGCGCGCGGCTGCGATTGCATTGCAGAGCCCGCAGATGCGCGACGTTCCCCCAGAGGGTATATCGAAGCTCTCCATGGTGTTTGCCTACGAAGCCGGCCGGCACTCACCGAGAGAATGGCGAGAATTGCACGGCGGACAAGACAGGCCTCTGTCGCTCATCAACGCAGACAAGAGCCTGATTACCAATGCGCATCGCAAATTTTCGAGCCGCAGGCAGGGGGGATTCTGTCCACCGCGCAGCAATTCTTTCTGTCGGGGCGCTCTTTGCCCCGCGACATATGCGACGTGGATCGCGAAAGCATGGCGGCAAGCCTAACGGATGGGAGCGCTGCAGTCATTCTCTTCGATTTTGAGGCTGCCTCCCCGCGTGTTCCACGCGCGTGTACTTTGGGGGCGCTGGGAAAGGTTGGGCTGCCCCCAGCGCCGCGCGATGCTGGCCGTTGTTTGTGTTGGCGCAATGCGTGCAACATCGAACTCAGAGATCAGGTCTCTGACGGCTCGAGATGGCTAGCGGTGCCCGGGAGGGAAGGCCCGCAGTCGCCACTGTTGTTGGTGTCGGTCACGGAAATGCTACTGCGCCGCGCTCGCCGCGCGTCCCCGCCTGCTTTTGCGAGAGCATTCGCTGGCGATAACGGTGCGGTCATCCGAAATTGGTGGTGTGACGCCTCTCGCATTCTCCGCGTTGCATAGAGTTTGCAACACTTTCGGTTGCGATTCCGCTGCGGGGGGCAACGGGGCGCCAGTCCAGACGTGGCGCCCAAGACACGATGCCCGAATGGCATGGCGCCGATTGAACTTCAAGTGCGACGTGCCTTGGTTTCGAAGCGTGGCCGGGTCGTTTCCGGGCCCCCCCGGGCGAAGGCCGCTGCGAAATGTGGAAATCCAGCTTGCCAGCGGGCAGAACGCGGTCTCGGATTGCACTTCGACGCCAGAGCGTTCACTTCATTCGTAGTCGCTGTTCTTTCGTGCATATAGCAGTTCTGCGAGCCGGCGACAGATCTTCTCGCTGAGGAGGCGCCCTCGTTCGCGCGGCTTTCCTCCAGCCTGGGGGGTTGGCGAATTGCTTCGGATATGCGCAGAATTAATGCATGGGTCGGTTCCCCCGTGGAGTTTGTCAATTTGTCAAGCGCCGCGTGGGCTGCTGAATTCTGGGCGGCCAGCACGGCGGTGGCTGATTCGGCTTATCTGGCAGAGCAGTTGGCGGGGGCGCAAGTTGATGACCTTGCGCGTGCTGCAGCGGCGAAGTGGCGGTCGCGGCGCCAATCGCATGTCGCCCCTCTCTTGAAGAGAGGCCCTGCCGCTCCGCATAGGTCCTGGCTCGGCGCAAGGAGATCTACGCGCTGCGCTCCGCGAGCGCAGGTGGGGGCCCGCTTCCGGCAGAAACTTGCAGGGTGGGAATCGCCGTCCCTAATTGGAACTTTGGCTCGGCGTGCGCCGGCGCTTTCTGCCGGGCTTCGCAAGCTCGCGCCTCCTCGGGCCACGGCGGCAGCGTTCATAACTCAATGGAAAGGTTGGCACGGCTGGTAGGTTCCAGCGAGAAGGCGCGTGCGTCTTTGGCTGGTTCAAAAACAGCGCATGGCTGCTGTATCGAACGCTGCGCGCGTTGCCCTTTCATTGCTCGGTTGAGGACTCGCTTCCCGCGGCTTGCCGCGGTGTCCCTGGGCATCTTTCTGTGCTTGGAGCACGCAGACGACGCCGCATTGGCGCTTCATGCCATGGCGACGCATGCTGCGCACGCTGCGTTCTTGGGCGCTCTTGGGGCCGTTTTGAGGCTCTCTTGGGCCCCTCTCGGGGCCCTCTTGGGCCATGTCGGAGCCATCTGGAGGCCTCGGAAGGCTATCGGAAACGAACGGGCGAGAATGCAACATACAGTCGTTTCCTTACGTTTTCGATGGATTTGTGCCTCTTGGGGGCCTCCTTGAAAGTCTCGGAGGCCTCTTGGAGCGTTCTTGGGGTTTCTTCGAGCATCTTGGGAGCCATCTTGAGGCATCTTGGGCCATCTTCAGCCATTTTGGAGGTCATCTTGGGCTTTCTGAGGCGCTCATGGAGCCGTCTTGGGCGAAGAAGTGCCGTCTGACACCTCGCGAACCCCCCTCCGTCCAGGTCCAGGGGAGGGGCTAGGGGGGAGGGGCCAACCCCTCCCCGAAGGAGAAGAAATGGGGGTGGAAGAGGAAACTCCCTAAACCACTTGCGCTCAGAGGGCTGGTGGGATTCTATGCAATCCATGTGGGGTCTGACGACGAGGCGCCGACGGGGCGGCGACGGCGACGACATAGCCGCCAGACCGACACGCAGGCCCAGACGACTGGCGGCGACGGCGACGACATGACGCCAGCGGAAGAACGGGTGGCGACGAGGATGCGACGGCGACAACGTAGCCGCCAAAGCGGCACACCAGCCCAGTTCGTTTGAAAACAATAAAGAAACCTTGAGTGCAAGCATTGTTTGTGGAATATCCAGCTGCCCCAGGCAATATCGCCACCGTGCCAGCGCACCATCCTGGGTGGCGACCGCTTGAGAAGGCAAGGGAGGCCTGTTGGGGGCCTCTTGGGTCTTGGGGCGGAAGGCTCGAAATCTTCGTTCGTGTTCCCACTCTTGGGGCCCTTTTTGGATCCCTCTTGGGCTCCTCTTGGACCGTCTTGGAGCCCTTTTGGGCCACCTTGGAGCTTTCTTGGGGGCCTCTTGGGCTGCCTCGGGGGAGTATTGGGGACCTCTTGGGCCGTCTTGGAGCGTCGGAAGCTCGAAGAGGTGATATCCCCAAACACATTGAACAAACTATGGGCA